AGTATTTACACTAGGCGGTCATGTATTTTTCTTATCCTGGTTGGGTTAGACATAGATCGAGTCATAAAAATAGATAGTTTCCTGTTTTATTCCTCTCTAGTGATCTATAAATCCTTAGACAATACGGAAAAATATTCATCCCGATTGTTGCTAAATATGATCTTTTCTTAATAAAGTACTGGAAACGGCATGGGATGCACCAGTTTTAATAATAATTGAATTAATTACAAGATATTAATTAATCTATTTTAGTTTTTTTCAAATTCATTAATCTTAAATTTATTTTTGTTTTACTTGATTCAATTTACTTTTTTTAATATTTTTTTTATAATGTTTATAATGTATATATTAATTATTTATTTGTTTTATTTACTATTATAATAATTTTATTTAATTCAAATAATTAGTCTAATTTATTAGATTCTTTTTTTCAAATTGTTTAATTATTTAATCTGCCAATTATTAAAACTATAAGTATTTTATATCTTGAACTTAATTAACTCAAGAAAAAAAAATTTTATAAAAATTTTTTTGTTTTATTTTATATTAATAAATTAATAGTTTAATTTAATCTATTTATCAATTAAGATAAGAAGTTATGTATTTGTAATTTCTATATTAATTATTGTATAATAACTTATAAAAATAGAAGCTATTATATCTTAGTTTTACAAGTAAAACTATAAAGATTATTAAAGTTTTTGCTTTTAGAATCGATGATTATAATCATATTTTGCTAAGAATTGAGCAGAAATCTTATTATTTTTCACTTATAATTGAGCTAATTCTATTTGAAGCTTACTATTATTTATAAACTTTTAAAGAAACCTTAGTACAAACGTAAACTAATCTTTTTTCCTTTATTAATTATGCCAAAAAATATACAGTGTATAATAAAATAGATTAAAATCTTTATTTATTTATTTTTTTTTTTTGAGTACCCGTAGCCAGGCTAGATTGTTCTATTAAAATCTTTATATTATAAAATTGAGTGAACAGTTAATTGTGTTAAAACTCATGGCTGCTTTCGTGTCAATACAGTAATAGCAGGAATAGTGCTGACTGATATCAAGAGAAGAATCTGCTATTGTTTTGGAAAGAACCAGACCACCCTGACAATAGCTTCGTCATGGCATTCCCAAAATACTTCGTAATACCAGAACGCAAATTTTTATAATGATTTGAAATCTATTTATTTTGAGTAACTACTGTAAAATTTATTTTCAAAAATATAATCAAGTCTTATAATAGTAAATGTTTTTTATAAATTAAAATTTTAAGCTTGTTTTGAAATATGTATACTGTATATATTTCTTTTTTTTTGTTTTTGTTACTTGATAAGAAAATTTGTATAATACAATTCTTGTTTTTCTTAACCAAGAGATTTGTAGCCATTATATGTTTTAGTTCTTTTCAAATAACTCCCGCGTCAAAAAGGAAATACCTTTGTTAGAATTAGATTAGTATTTTGCTGTAAATAGAGTTTGATCTTTAAATGTCCATTTGTTATTTATCGCCATAAGTTGTTTTACTTAAACCTATTATCCCCAAACCATGCTTCATTATTTCTTCGTCAAGTTTTGTTAATTAATTAACTTTATTTTTTATTCTTTTTCAATTTTATCAAAGGCTAGTGATCTACCAGATCATAGCAAATTTTTCTTGTATTTTGCAAGGAACCTTATTGTGGTAGGGTTATGCCCGATTTTTATTAAAAATATTCACCGAGGTTCAAAATTTTTTCCTTCTCTTGGGGACTTCATATTTCCGCGAAATTTTTTGTCGTGATACTTTGGCGAAGTCGAAAAAGAAAACAAAAAAAAGGAGAAAGAATGTCACGCTTATTTTTATATTCGTAAATCGGACGTCACTTTCTGAGGTGAGTGCACATTATTGTATACGGAATTTGTAAAGGATTTTTTGATTTATCAAACTTTTTTGTACCAACTTGAAAAAATAATATAATTATAGAAGTTCGTGACTACTGATTTAGAAATTTGGCAAATTCCACTTTAAACATGTATTTTTTTCTCTATATATTTTTATTCTCAAATGGTTGGAGCGTAGACGAGAATGTTGAAATCATAACCAGCTAATCCAACCCACATACATTATTCCGAGTACAAAAGGATCCGTTGCGAGGTCGATCAAACATTCGACTTGCTCCTTAACGCTACCACATTTTTGTGGTGTACGGGCTCTGATGTTATGTTCAGGACTTCCTTTGGCTATTGATTGAATGTGATTGATAAAAGGTTTGTTCGAATGACCAAATGATAGTTCATCGCAGATGATATCTAAAAGTGAAGAATGCATGTATGAAGCTTAACCACAATTCCCAGTAAATAAAGAAAGGGAAAAGGAATGGGCTTACATGCGGGATTTTCACCATTAAGTTTACGTTGGGCGATATCTAACTTTTTGCGTGGATACCATTCGGTGGTCTTGGAGCTTTCATTATCCATTTCATTACTTTCATGATTTTCTATAAAAACAGATTGCAATTATTCTGAAATCAATAACAGAAATCAACTCTCAAACAATCGATATTAGTTGCTCACTTTGATTGTTCGCATTTCTTATAGCTCTTATTTGCCAATCCAATAACGGTTCTTTGACAAAAATTTCCATTGAATTCAATAATATATCCTTGTTCGCATGCATAACTAAGAGAAACAAAATTTTGTTAGATGAACAACAGAATCAAATAAACATTTAAATAAATAGCTTACTCTGCATTATTTTTATCATGGGGTATTCTAAAAGACCTTTGGAACCGAGGGGCTCCATCAGAGATTCGATCTGTCTTGTGAGTCTAAACGGAACCAACTCTGGAACTTCGAGCGTCTCCGTTGCAGAACCAAAGGCGTGACCAAAGTCAATAGAAATAAGAGAACCGCTATTAGTTTAGATAGGACAATGAGGGTATTAAGTCTTGCATATTGCAATAAAAATTGTACTTTAAATTGTGAAGTACTAAATATATTACTTTATAAAATCGATCAGATAATTTTCCATGTGCCGATCACCAATTCCTGCCAGTTGGATTACATTCGTTACATTTGTGAATAATACTTTACGATAAAATCAAATATAATAAAAGAAATACAACACTTGCCAACCAAGTAGCCACAAACATTTATGGCCGCAAGATTCTTCACGAATTCTGAGCGAATCGATAAATGAGCTTCCGGAGAAGCCGCAAGTTTATACAACGCTTTTTTGAGAGAATTTCCGTTGATCATACTTTGGAGTCTTATCATGTGCTTAATAACTTCCTCACGGTTCACTTTAACGAATAACTTTTGATAACCTTAAAACAAATCAAAGATAATTTTCAGACATCAAAGTATGGATAAACATAATATAATATATATATATATTTTTCGATTTACTCACCATGGAAGCTTTTCACCCATGCATCATGCTCAAACTGAGAATCGCTGATGATATTTTGATTGAAAAGTTCGTTTTCGATAAATCTCCTAAGAGTATCGGAGTGAGGAATCCACTCGATTATTCCCAAATTTCCGGTCATCGGGACAACCTAAAAAGAGAAAATTGCATCACTCAATACTACTACAATGTTCAGGTTTTTACAATATGCGGTCAAAGGTATTAATTAACCTTATATGTTCTCAGTGCTATTTTGCGCTGAGAACAGTAGAAATCCTTGTGCATCAATTCGTTCATGATGGAGAACAGTAATTGAATTCGTTGATCCAATCGTAAATCTTCGCCTCCCTAGGTTGCAACGGATGAGATAAAATTTCAGAGAGAAACTTATCATAAATCATTTACCTTTACAAGGAATGGATATTCGTTGCCGTCTGTTCCTATAATGGTTATTCGCTTGGGCTTTCTTAATGAACGTAGCACCAACAATCTTGGATTGAAATGAGCGATCTTAACGTGACGATTCGGATCAGGGATAGTCATTCCATCATATTGACCAGGAATTTCGATGTCCTAAAATTCAAACCTCAGTGTCAGGAACCTTACAAGAGAAATTTCTTATGAATTATTAGTAGAAGAGACCTCATCCATATTCGACGAAGAAAATTCGGAAAGCCAAGCAGAATATAATTTCAATAGATTCGCGCCCTCTCTCTTCTTTTCATTCGGTTTTATGAATTTACTATAATAATCCCAAAGTGTGACCCTGAATTCACGGTTTGTCATTTTGGCCAATAATGAACCATCGTTTCCTTTTTATCATCAAGGCGAATTAGTTAATCAATAATATATCACTGGAATCAAGGTTTTTCACTTACCGCAAACACTATTAATATGATCGGAATAATTAATAGCAAAATCTCTAGGTAATCAATAATTAAGAATAAATTTAGGAAAGCAAAAATCGTTGAGTTGAAAGAATCAGCAAGATTGACGTGTTCAAAACAAGGATATCCAATACACCGTAGCGTGGGTTTCCAGCATCTAATAAAAAGGCTTTCATTTCTCGGAACGACGTTTTCATATCCTCAGATCGATCTATGCCGTTACTCTTGTCCTTTAAGTAAGCCTTTTGATGATAGAGTTTGAAGAGAGATTTGATATCCTTGAGTGATAATAGGAATTAATCAAAGAAAGCATCTTACGCTGATTTTTTGACACCAGCCGTAAAAGATTGTTTCCGGATCGGTAAGTCTTTCGAGTTCATCTATTAGGGCATCTGTGGCGTCACATTTAATAATTTGCTTTAGCTGCTGAATTTTGTTCTTATTTTCTCGCACGGCTCTATCTTTCTCATCGAATTTGTAATACTCGCTACTAATTTTCAACGGATAATACAAGCTCTTTGGATAAGATTTTGAAAGCTAATAAAAATGGCAATTATTGCGAGTTAAAATTCCAACTTTTTTCATTGAGTTAAATGCAAATAGTCACATCCTCAACAATAAAATTACCGCAAAAAGTATCGGGAAAACACATTTAGCAGCAGGCTTGTCCAAGATTGCTACAATTTGCGGGATCCATCGAATAAATTTCCACACGGGTCCAAATGATTTTACCTAGACAATTCGTGAAAGCAGTTAAAAAAGATAAGGGAGACCCTTGTTTTCATATTAAATTTTCGCCATAAAAACCACCTTCTCTTCGAACGATCGTTGAGATGACTCGTAAATGTCAATTATCTGTAGCAATCGTGGAAAGAATTCCAACGCTTCCTTAGACGAATATTCCATTGCTTGCAAGATGTTCTGCACGACAATTGAAGAATAAAGACCTTCGTCAAAGGTCACCTGTATGATAAATAAAAAAAGTCCTTAATAAAAGGTAATTTCGGATTAGAACATGAGTCAATTACATTCTGCAAGCTATCATTGGATTCCAGAGAACGGAGATAGTGGTCACAAAATTTTGCAAACTTGACAAAGATCTTGGCTTGATTAGAAGGCTACATAAGAAAGAAATGTAAAGTTGAATAAGGGTAAAAAATGTGTTTGAAAAGCATTCGATAAATCGGTAGCTTTTATTACTTTAAGGTGCAACACAGCTTTCTCTGAAATGGTTCTCAAAAGGTCGAACCCAGCTTTCATAAAGCTTTGCTTACGACCTTTGAGAGAGGGATAATTCACCGTGGATTCTGGTTTGTCGAATTCAGCGGTCAAAAGTGCATATGTTTCACTTTCAATTCCACGGCATTTCATCTCTGTCTTCACATCTGAAATCTTTAAAATCGACAAAAGTCGGGAATAAGCAACATGTTGAGATGGAAGATCAACAATAAGTAAACTTACTTACCTCGGAACTTCTAAATTCTTCGGCCATGGCTAACAAAATGTCCATCCGCTTTTTGGAATCCGAGGTAGTCACAGCCTCCTTGAGGTTAAGTTTAAATTGATAATATTTTATATCATCGATGGAATGGAAACCCAGAGATCGTCCTTTTTTGAGACATTCACGGGAAACCGCAAAGTTTCCCTGAACTCTTGCGGCAGAAGCCATTTTCAATAAACCTTGGTGTTCGAGGCCAGTTGAAACGTCGTCAAACTTTTTGCAAGATTTTATCAATAAAAAACCTGAGCTCATCTGGAATCAATAAGTAACTTGCGATAAATTTCAACTCACTTTCTGATTATTATTCACCCAGTTCAGCATGTTGTCAAGGATGGAATGGCGACTTGTTATCACATCATCCCAGGTACTTGTGGGATCAAGTTGCTTTGAAGGATATCTGTGCAAAGCGACCATGATTAAAAACGATAATCGTTTCCAAAATTCTGTCAAGTTCTACCTTTT